TCCAGACTTTTGATTCACATCTTTCAATAATCCCGTGATTCCTGCGGGAACAAAAGAGTCGCAACGCTTCACTTCCAACGACCCTACGACCCAAGACAAAAAAATCTCTCAAATTTGTCTAATGATCCTAGTTCAATATAAAGGAGTTGGTAACATTTTTAAAGAAAAAATCTAATTGTATAACACCATCAAATAATAGGAAATATATTTAATTAAAATAAAAGGAAATTTATTTTATTTTTTCTATTTTAACCATTCAAGTTTTATAGGTGTTCTTTAATGACAGAATAGTGTATAGGTTCGAATATTTTTAATAAATGATTGATATTAGTATATCTATCATTGGATTTAACAGAATGCATAACAAACTGTCTGTACACAATACTTCCACGTGGTGAGTTCACTGTGGGGAAAGGTTGTGGGTTGTGAAGCGTATAAATGGCATCACCTCATCGTCATTATAATCAGGGTGATGTGTGCAACTGTAATAATGGTAGGTGGGGTTGCTCACCGAAGTGCTTTGTTGTCGATCTAAATTAGAACAGCGGCGTGTGATAACTAGGTTACCGTTATATCTTGGAAATAATTTAACAGAGATTTAAGTATTTATTAAATTATTACGTCGAGGGCGTTTTTATTAATCTTCCCATAAGTAATACAATTTTGATTTGAGATCAAAAAAGGCTTAACAACGTAATCATTAGAGCTAAGCCATTAGATTAAAATGTTTCAGCGATGTATCCAAAAGTAAATATATAATTATAATTAGTCGTTTTTTTATATTTATTGGACTCAGAACGATAAAACACAAAGAATTCAGTGCTTTAACTTTATCAACCCGCGAGTCGTTCGATCCGTCAAACCAGTTTCTTTAACTTTCTTACTCCTCCCTCTCTCTCAATCACTCACTCACTTTCTCTCTCTCTCTCTCTCTCTCTCTCTCTCTCTCTCTCTCTCTCTCTCTCTCTCTCTCTCTTTTTTTTTTTCTGTCTCTCTATTATGTTAGTGAAACTTGTTAAAATTTTCTTTCCTCCTTCCGTGCAAAGTGGAAAATATCCGAATAATTGTTATTAGTGACAAGGACATTAATTGAATGTTCCGTCAACTTTTATTGCTTGCATCCGTCGCAGGCCAATTAAGATGATATTTATTATGTAAATACTGTTCATCCCCTTTGCCGAAACTAAAAATGAAACGGGAAATGGCCATGAACTCCTTGGGGGCTTTGGTCCGTGGCATTGTAGACTTTAACACTACAATTCTTAGCATCTGGATTGATAGTCTCGACGTGATAGTCGGAAGTTCAACGAACCCAAATGGATACAATAGCGCGGTTAATAGTAGGAATTATTTCGCTGTAATTTTCCCGATGCTTCGACTGCTTATCAAATTATAAAACGGGCCAAGTAAGCGTGAATGCTTTCCGCAAAAGGTGTCCAATTTGAGGTTGGACGAATCGCACGTCCGTTCACTTGTATTGGGCAACGAGGAAGCGAGACACATGATTGCAAGAAGTCCTTTATCCTCCTTATGTCCGTTACGAAAGAGATTATGCGACTGCAGGACCTTGTTAATATGCTGTTCTTCCTGTTTAATCCCGTTGGCCTTTTTTTTCTCCACTTAATCCAATATGAATAAAATATGTGAATGTCTGGTGAAATCGTTATTACGATGTTCAATTTTATATATATGGAGGAAAATAACTATAATCATTTAGTGATTTGTTCATTTTTAGATAGACGACAAAAGATCAAGACAAGTTATATTTACTATTACCACTTCTTCTTAAAAACTATTGCTCATTCGAATTTTATTGGCCTTTCAGCAGTTCTTATTTTTTTAAATTGGTTTCAATTCAAATAAGAAAGTTGTTTGTGGCGCCACACCCTTTGGTTAATTAAATGGCAAAAAATAGGAATAAAACCTTCCTGTCACGCCCAAGATATTTTTCATTTTACTGTCGACTTAATAAAAGTAACTTTTATCACTTATCAGTTTAATAACTTAGATATTTTTCTGCTACGCACATTGTGCCGGGTAGCAAAAAATAAATATTGTCTCTTCCACGTTATTTAATTACATTTCCATAGTTTATCGACAAGGACCTTTCACCGGTGTTATAATTTTTATCAGAAAAGTACTGAACACGTGGAACATGTCTTGTTTAATATGATAAACATGTTGACATTAAATGACGTTTTTCATTTAAAAACCTATTGACAAATTATAAAATTAAATATATAAAATTAATTTAATTAAGTCGGATTAAACTTTATTAAATTTAAAAGTACGTTTATGTTTTTGTTTTTAAATATCACACACATTTAGAAATGACTACCAAACCAAACTACCAAAAATCCATTGCTCATCCTTTAAAATGAAAAATGACAAAAATTGGCCATGCATGATTACAAAAAACTTTTAAATATATTTAATAAAAATCTCGCTTTCTTTATCTATCGATCTATACTAATTTCTTTCATTTGTATTTGTTTATTTTTCTGTTTATCCCCGTCTCACTATCTAGCTATATATCTATTTAACTACCTATATATTTACCTAACTATCTTTCTTTTTTCTCTTTTTATCTATATGTTCATTTCTTTCTTTAACCTCCTATCACTATCTATCTATCTAGTATTTATGTATCTATCTATTTATCTTCTGTTCTTTTTTCTTTCTTTTTATCTTTCATTCTTCTTTCTTTTTTCTCTTTATCGATATAACTTTCCTACTTTTCTTTCTCACACTTTTTTAATTGGTTTTCTGGCTCCCCTCTCATTTTTTCTCATCTCCCTCCCTCTCCCTCGCCCTCAACTCTCTCCTTTAATCACTCACTCCCTATTTCTATCTATCTTTTCTCATTAATTGGTCGTTTGCGACCTAAATTTGCGAGGTGTTTAAAATCAAACGGTATTCACTCATTCTTAACTTACATTAAGAGAATGTATTTATTAGTGTGAAGGTATTTATGTATGCGATCATTTATTTATTAGCGCAATGCATTTATTCGCGAAAATATTATGATTACGAGAATGTATTTATTAGCGAAAATGGATTTATTGACTAGAACATCTTAGCGAGAAAGTATTTTTTAGCGGAAAGATATTTATTAGCGAGAATGTTGTGTTTATTGGCAAATATTTAATTATTACGAAAATGAATTTATTAGTGGGAAGGTATATATTAATAAAAGTGTATTTATTGGCGGGAATGAGATTGGAATTGTTCAATAAAAGATTAATTAATTAGGAAATCTAAGGCATACAAGTCAATTAATTTATTACCTAGAAAAATCAGTAAAAATATGTTTCAGACTAAAATTATCTTGCCAGAAAATACTGATCTGTGGAATTTTATTAACTTTGTATTAACCTTTTTTGTAATGCGTATATTATTATTTTCTTTATTTTTATAAATACACTCCTCTATGTTAGAAATTCCATTCTATTTTCTTGCTAGAATATGCAAACGGCATAAATTTGTATTCCGAGAAACGAGATTCCATTAAAACCTGTGCCCATATTGCAGCCGCAAACATTGATGTATACATATTCAATAATTAATTACAGTACAGTGATCATATCGTCATTAATCTTCCACCTACATACCATTTACCACAAATCGTTAATTATTAGCATCAGCCCAACAGCCACACCCTTGGCATAATATCGTGTAACCGAATTTATCATTAACGAGAAACATGCAGGGATGTGAGACCACTTGGTTGTTTACACAATTATCTAATCGTGTTAAAAAAAAACCTTTTGAATACCTTTTTCGCTAATGTATTTCGGCCAATTATAATTAACTTGATCTTAAAAGTATCTAATTGAGTTGTGCCCTTGATGTTCTGTGGTCTACGAGTATAATGATTGATGAATGATTATGGGTAACGCCTTACTTAAGAAATAAAGAGACAAAAGCTATAAAAAGCATATTAAGAGCCTAAATACTAAAATAACTTTTTTTAACTTCAGCGGAACAGGAAAAGTAGAATAAAATTCAAAGAGAACGCCGTGATAGCCCTAATAATTGGTTTTCTTTTAGGCCCATGTCATAGATAATCTTGGTAAAACTTTTCTCAAGTGATAAATTCGTGAAAATGCGAAAACCCTCGTTATCGAATCCATTTTAAACATTCCAGTAGACCTTCTACGTCTTAAAAGTCCCCTGGTCCCTTCCAAACACCGAATTTCCGGGATTCGCCCTTCTTTCTTCAGCTGTCACAAAAGAGATTGGGTCCCGTTTAATTGTTCTAAGGGGGAAAATGATAAGATAAAAATCGCAGCATTTTACCATCGCCATTTCTCTAAGTTTAATCATTAAACGCATATTCCAATGCGAATGAACTTATTCCAGTATAGTTTTTTGAGCTATAAATTGATTTATATACGACAAAATACAAAAAAACGCGTTTATGAGTAGGAAATAGCAATAAAGCGTCTTTAATCATTAAACGCAAAGCAATGATTAGAAAATTACATTATTTATGTCTTTTTTTCTCGTAATCGGGTTTATTGACCTACAGTTTTTTATGAAATTAATCTGCGAACTTAAAACGCAAGAAAAGTGTTCTTGTATAGAAAGGAATATAAAATATACAGCAGGTGACAAAAGAAGTTGGTGTTATATTGTTGGCCAATTTCTTCTGGCAGTTCCACGCTCTACAATTCAGGAATCACGGTGCCCTGGTCTCAGAGTGAAAGTCAAAATGACGGGAACATGTGTGGAATCATTGTGTTAAATTAGGTAACTGGTCCTTTTTTTTCTCTCCGTTTATTACTTTCAAAGACAAATTAAATTTTATCTTTTGAGTAAAATTACCCCCAGTTAGTCCTATGTGTACATAATTTATGCATCATTATCATTAGGAGTTTGAGGAAGCTCTTCAGATTGTTTTCTTTTACGCCTATGCATTTCCTTTCAAAAACAAATAATTAAAAAGACATACACAGCTTTATTTATTTATTTTTTATTTTTTTAAATTTTTTTTTCAGTTGGAGCATACGTTCGTTTTAGCATACATAGCATACATCCTAATTATTGCTGGAGCAATCATCTTCTTCATTGGTATTATCGGTTACTGTGCTGCTTTGAGAGAATCAAGATGTCTTCTTGGATTTGTAAGTATTAATTTTTCAGTAAATTTATAATGTAAGTTTCAAGGCACTGTGCGAGTCAGTGAGAGGCCGTGATTTTCTTCCTAGTTTATAGAGAATATTGGAATTTATTTGTATATATAAATTTTCTTTTACATTGGGAGATCTCTTTCTGAGATTCAAGGGTGACCAACCGATACTTTGCTCAAGCCCTCTCCTAAAGATAGTGAAATGATCAAACAGCATGGATAAAAGCAGATAGACCATTATGATGATAAACGACCAAATGACAAATAAATGAGTGTGTGTGAGTGAGTGAGTGAGGGAGAGAGAGAGAGAGAGAGAGAGAGAGAGAGAGAGAGAGAGAGAGAGAGAGANAGAGAGAGAGAGAGAGCGTGAGAGAGAGAGAGAGAGAGGGTGGATGGAGGGAGGAAGTAAGAGAGAGCGAGAAGCAAACAGAATTATAAAGTGAATGAGAAAGAAAGAGAATGAGAGGAAAAAGAGTGTTTTTCTCCTAACATTGCCAAGAAATGTAACAGTATTGCAGCAATATTGTTAGGACTGAGTCAGTCTTCAAGAAAATTTGAGAGAAAACTTAAATATGTCGATCTGTAGACATATTTAAGATTGTATGCTCTGATGATGATGTTCAAATAGGTCGAAAGCTCGGCAGAAACAACGAATTTGTTTTTTTCTTCAAGACCATACTTAATTCATAATATTTGTGAGTGAAGAATTTGCTGTATATCACTAACACTAGCCTCTCTTCCTGCATGTATCTGCACTTTCCTGTCTATCATTATAACGTACTGTTGTCAGTTGCTACTAAATTATTTTGGTGATATGCATAGTCCTCTTGATTTTTACTTACAGAATATACATTTTGTATGATTATTCATTGCCCAAAAATGATTGTGTCCTACAAAACAATATCAAAGCATTGAAATATCAATTTTTAAAGGGTCCTCTTATACCGTTCATCTTTCTTCATAAAAGCACCAGTCTATTAAGTAGTGAAGGTGATGAAGGATGTTCACAATATTGCCCTGCATGGAGAGTTATACATTGAAAGGCCGTTTTATCAAAATTGGGACAGCTCCTTTGTCTGGTCTATAATTAAACACTTTTATAGAACATTGTCTACCAAAAAAGAAAAAAACAACGGGAAATATTGACACCTACGTTGTATTTTATATACAAAAGAATTTATAAGTTTTGTACTACAAAAAAAAAAGATTAAACCCTGTTGAAAGATTTTTGAATAAATGATCAAGTGATTCGAAATTAAATACACCAGTATAACCATTTTGTCCAGAAGGGAATAAACATTGATCGTTCACAACCTTTTATGTTTTCATTTATTTCACAATAAATACCAATCATAGTTAAAGCTCCCTAAACGCCCACATGTTTGCAGATTATTGGCTCACGAAAAAGCAGGCGTCTGAACATTTAAACAAGGTTGGAGGGTTAGTGTATGTAGGAAGAGGGCAATAAAGGGAGAGAAGTGTAATAGATAGTCACGTGTAATAACTGTGGGATATTGCTCCTTCCTCATCCACACCAATTTCAGCAATCATGATTTACAAACAGCAACTCTCAATTTATATATTTTCTGCTTTAGGTTACAAAGCACTTCTAGCTTAGGACAAAATCAGTCGATATTTTAACATGGTTAATTTGATTAGGTTTATGTTTAATATATACAAATGTTTTCTCGATCGGCAAAGTTTATTGCTTTTTGGTACTTCTCTAATTCATGTCTTTTTAGTTATAATTATATTTATTGTAATAAAATTGGTAATATTTATAAATAATATAAAATATTTTTATTTTTTGTAGTATGGAGTGCTTATATTAATAGTCCTAATCCTTGAGATTACAGCAGCTGGTTTGTCCTACGTTTATAAAGACAGGGTAAGGATATATTTTATTTTTATATTCAGTGTTCACCCTTTTTGTCAAATAAATGTTTCAGGTGGAAGAAGAGATACAGGACTTCATGATGAAAACAATAAAAGATTACGATCCCGATATGAACCACACTGTTGCAGGAGATGTGTCAAGAGCCTGGGATGTACTAATGCTAGATGTAAAGTGCCAAATTTATAAATTAAATATAAATAATTTGATTCTAGTTGGTTATGAGACAAATATATTTTCAGATGGAATGCTGCGGAGTGACTAATTACACAGACTTTCAATTATCGGAGAAGTTTAAGAATTCAGGATTGAAAGTTCCGAGATCCTGCTGCAAAACAGCCAATGTATCGAATAAAGCCGATCTGAAGTGCATGCATAATCCAGATGTAACAAATGCTAACATTGTGAAGGTAATAAACATAAAATTTGATAGCAAAAATTAATTTTTTTGGTAAGCCTTATTAAAAATAGCATGGTTTTCTGAAGAAACACACAATTAAAAATGACATGATAGTCCATAAATACCTTCAAAGAATGATATTAATTTTGAGGAACTTGAATCCTCCCCAATAAAAAATATAAAGAATTTTAAAATAAAAAGTAAAGTAATTCCTGTCATACAGGAGGTACTTCCCTTGGGTTGGATGTCGTACCACTTTACAATACATTTTTCATACTGTTATCAATTAGAAAGCCATGGTCTCTTCCGGGATTCGAATCCATAATCACAACAAGACAAATACGAATCAGACACCCTAACCACTGTTGTCCTGTTATAAAGAATTCTGTTTCCACTTAGTTAAATTGTTTTGTTTTCTCTATTTTTTAACTTTTCAACAACTTCAAATGATATTTTAGAAATGATTTAAACTTAAGACTAATTTCTGTTTGTATTTGCAGGGTTGTTATGATGCAGTCATTGATGAGCTGAAATTGAACTATACTGCCGTCATTTATATTGTTATTGCAATTGTTCTCATCCAGTTCCTTCTGACTTTGCTCTCCTTCTGCCTTTGCAATACCATAGACCCTTATGACAAATAGCAGACACCTTCAGCCCCATCTTCGTGCCCACCCTCCAGGCCAAGGCGGAGGGATCACCGATGTGATATCTCTTGGGGACCAGACATGCCCGCCTATCGCTACACATACTGATATCAGGATGATGATAAATACTACTGACTTATGTCATGTCAAATATAAATGTGACAAAACTGCTATGATAAAACAAAAAAAAAAACAGTGTGTTTAAATGTGTACAGTTCGACTTTTTTATATATATTTTTTTGACTTCAAAAGAAAATTCATGGATATTTTGTTTTTTATTAATACATTGAACGTGTAAATTGTTTAAAAATAATTATTAACAATAGTAATAAAAGGTAGTCTTCCTTGTTCTTTTTTCTTTTCACATTGTTTAATAATAGCCTTTTAGGACCAAATCAAGTGAATTTTATCTTTTTAAAAAAATATTAACAATAGCATTAACTTAGGAAGTAATATTTAAAATAAATATTTATAACACTGCCCTGATCCTTTTGCATTTGACTATTTTAAAATGGTTAAAAGAGGTTATGAAGAAAAAAGTTTAGTCAATAAAAAAATCTGCTCAACTATTAGTTTTCTAAATAACAATAGCTAAATTAAACTATAAAAAGTTGTTAAATTAAAAACATTCAAATACGCAACCGATATGATTGTTAGAAGGTATCAATTTTGATGTTATTATGCAAAAAAAAAAAAGATAGACTAATTAGAGCAAATTTAATCATATAATAAAAACCATCAACATGTAACCTTGCTTAACCCTAGAATGAATTCAGTATAAATTATGTAAAATACTAGAATGCCAGGTATGTCATAGCATATTTATAAAGTTGCATTTTATCAACTGCATTATATTGACATGTGGAATTTAATTATAGAAAAAGGAAGACATTGATGTTTTATTGACATTTCAATTTTATATTTACTAACATGTTTAGAACTTCTTAATAATCGTTACATAAAAATATATTAGGGCCGAGTTGTATGCCCACAGAATGAATGTTTTTCCAAAAATTTGAAATAAACCTAAAATCTTTTGTATATGTGTAGCTGGACAAAGGTGTATTAAAAATTTTCAAATGTGTGAGGCATTAGTCTAAACGTTTGTATATATCCAAAGTTTTTAACAAAGAAATTATTTTTTAGGTATGTCGACACATCACCCATTTGTAACTTGGGAAAAAAAAGATCTATTGTATATTAAATAAAACACTCTTTATTCTTTCTCATTGTTAGTAGAACTAGAATGTGCCTTTATTGAACCCAAATTGCTAAATGTGTAAATAAAAATGCATAACATTATAGGGGTGGTTAAATTGTGTAAAATACATATTACATTTTTAAGAAAGAAGATATATTGTGTAAAAGGAGAGAGTTTTTTTTATTACTGGTTATTAACTTCTTTTGTAAATAAAGATCTATATTAAAGTTTTAAAAATGTATGTATAAGATATAGAAAAATAAAATGTGGAAACAAAGTATTCAACCCATAAGTTTTTAAAATATGTTTTGACCTCTCAGTGAGCACTGGAAGATAATACAAATAGCAAAAATCTATTTATTTTAATTCCTCTTGTCCTCTTTTATCCAATGTATATAAAACACCTGCCAATCTCTGATAAAATTGCCTTTGGAGAACTTGTGAAGAGTATACAATCTAATATACAATACAAACCAGCATCTCACAATGGAGCATTCTTGTTACATCATATATACCATTTTACAGCTGATTTTCCTATACATCTCAACACCACCTATGGATTTACCAAAATTTTATCTTCCAACTTGTACCTATCAAGCAACTTCCAACATCCAAGTACACTTTTTCCACCTGAATGATTTAAGAAAAATGTATCCAGTCAAAAACAAGAAGATGCTGACTTTCACTCATCAGATATTTAATTATATCTACAACAAACTAATATGGAACACAAGGCTTAAGAGACAACAGTAGTTTTCGGCAACTACAAAGTTTTTAGGACAGAAATCATTTTTACAATCCACAATAATTATTACTGTGACCCGTGTGTAGGATGGCCTACGTCCAAGCCATCAAATGACATTCCTTGGGAACATCAAAAGTTCCCAGAAAAATAGTGAAAGTTCTTTACTACATCACTACCTCACTATCCGCATCTCTCGACATTTCTTTGCTTAAAAAACTGATCCAATCCAAAAGTTTACACCAAGTTCAATCCTAACTCTACTGCCCAAGTGAAGAAGAAAATAAATTTTATTTAATTATTAGTAATTATTATTGCCAATTTTTATGTAGACAGTTAAGAAAAAAAATTAGTGTCATGAGCGGGACTCGAACCTATGACCTTCAGCTAAATCGCCGGTGCTGTAACCACTAGAGATATCGTGACCTTGATCCCCTGAGGCACCAACTTCTCTTCTCAACCGGTTGAAGGTTGTGGGTTCGAGTTTCACACTAATTTTTCTTCTCAACTGTGCATAAAAATTGAAAAAAATAAATTTTAATCTGGGGCTTTGAATATTGAATAACAAGAACATAGGATAGTATTTCGATTCATGTCAAAATGAATGTACAATTAAAAATTTAAATGTAATAACAAAATATAAATCAATGATTCATACTAAATTAAATACAAAGGGGAAAGAGTTGGCTTGCGTGACGGAATTGGCAGAGGGTGAAGAAACAGCGGCAGGAGATTTGGGAAAGTGGGGTTTCCAGGATAGGGTTTGATCAAGGATAATCCCAAGGTTTGACAGGTGGATAAAAGGATATTGGTTGGTTGTTAATCAAAGGGGATGGGATCCAAACACCATAGCCTGTTGGTTTTTGGTATTGAGAGAGTCAATTTTTAACAGCCCAGGAGCTGATGGCATTTAAGTCATCTTGGATTCGTGTGAGAGAGATTTAATGGCCATGAGATGAAGAGGAGAGAGATTTGAAAATCCGTTCACATCAGCGTAAAGCTGTTAAGTACAGTATTTAAGAATATTAGGATGCTCATAAATAGAGACCGGATTTTTATGCAGTTACATATTTTGTTTGCCACCACATACATCTTAGGAAATCAATTATCTATCTAAAACATATATCTAGGAAGCCATAGGTTAAATTTTATAGAGCAAATTTTTGTATATTTGATGAATATCGTATAAAATGGTATATTTGAACAATATTGCATATTTGAAGGATTTTTATGTAAAATTGCATTTATTGTGCAAAATATTTGAAGTATATTGGTTTTCGGGAGAAGCATAAAAAAAAAAAAAATCAGTAAAAAAACCACGTTTATGAAAAGTTAGTTTAATTCGAAGAAAACTAAAACAGGCCTCAACGATGGGAAGTGAAGATTCTAGCCATATCGACAAAAGGATATAAACCCACTTCTTAGGCCTTATTTGAATATTCAATATAATTACAAATTTGAAGTGACCAAGGCCCAATTTCATGGAAGACAATTTAGAGGAGTACTTTAGTTACTTAAATTATATTCAATTAGTATAGAATATATAATTTAAATATGTAAGTGAGAAAATATTTTTGTTCAATGTAAATAAACTCTAGGGGGTGTTGGTGGCCGCAACGGTTTTAGGCGTTGACCTGGCACTCATCACTGTAAAGGTCCCTGGTCCGAATCCAGTGGCCCAGCATTCGAACATGACATACTTACAAATGGGCTTTTTTTCAAAAACACCAGCCCCCCGAGGGTTCAAATAACCTAGTAGTTGGGGGGGGGGAACTAAATACTTATGAATTTTAATCATTTGTAGTTTTAATATCTATTTCGTTTTATTATCTATATTTCTGTTTAAAGTGACTATGATACTAAAAAACTGGTTTACTGCTTACCAATGCATATTTCAAGGCTTTCAACTGCATATTTTATGGCATATTTTGGAAATCTTTACTACATAAAAATCCAGTCTCTGCTCATAAATATAGCAATAAAAGAGTGAAATCTTTTTAAAAAATATTTCTTACTCACAGTTTGTTGTTTTCAACTAGGTGGATTTGAAGCTTAAGCTCATCATCAGGATTTACAACCGCTTCTCTCAACATGAATTTAGAGTGAAACCGTTAACCGCCGATCCACCGCCAACGCGAAGCTCCAATGGGAAGCGGGAAGCTGGTTTTTATCGCCGCTCAATTTTACACGCACGAAAAACGTGGATTACAACACAACTAAATATTACCTTATGACTATTATTACTAAGTAATAATTATTATATTATATACTTATAATTATTATCTTATAAGATAATATTTAGTTGTGTTGTAATTCACGTTTTTCGCGCGTTTAAAATTGAGCGGCGATCAAAATCAGCTTCCGTCTTCTCATTGGAACGTTTCATTGGCGGTTAATCGGGCGGTTTCACTCTTAAAAATTCGTGTAGAGATTCGAGAGACGTGTTTGTAACTACTTCATCCTGTTGAAGAGCGTCTACTGCTTGGAATCCGGATAGTTGAAAACAGCAAACTGTAAGTAAGAAATATCTTTTTTTTAATTAAACGACCTTTATCATATCTACAAAAGAGTAAGGCAGATAAACTGGAGCCTTGAGAAACACCGGTAATGATGGGCAGGGGCGAGGAAGGGGGGCTTATCTGAGATGAGGTCTATTTGCGAAAGGGCAGAAATGAAGGAATGAAGCCATCGAAGAACACTGAAAGGGAATTGAGTTTAGAAAATAGAAGGTTAATGATATCAAAAGCTTTAGAAAAACCAAGTACAAGAATAGTAATTTAACCTTGATCCATAGCCATCTGAACATTGGCAGTTCTTTTTAAAATTAGCTGAGTTTAGAGGCGTCAGTGTCCATAATGGTTTAGGTGTTGAAACAGCACTCATCACTGTAAGATAAAGATCCTGGGTTCGAATGCAGGGCCGCACAAATAGGTTTTTTTTTTTTTCAAAAGCACCAGCATCCCAAGAGTTCATATAACCCCGTAGTTAAAATACCTTCGTAAAAAATTAATAAAATAACCATTTGTGGCATGGGCGATTGAAGTCATGGTAGCTTAAGTGGTTAGAGCAGCGGCAGATTGACTCGATGGCCGTGGGTTTAAATCCTGCCTGTGACACAAATTTTTCATTTAAAAAAAATTGTGTATAATTAATTTAGTACATCTATAATTAAGAATAATGTGACAAAAATTTTGGTATTAACATCGATTCACACCTTAGATTGGACATAGTCCTTCTAATGTAGTAAGCATGCATTGTTTAATAAATGTGCTTCTATAATGAAGCCACAATTTGCTTACAATTGGAATAAAATGGGAAGTACAAATATTTGTGGCATGTGCGATCGGAGTCACGATAGCTCAAGTGGTTGGACCAGTGGTGTATTGATCCAAAGGTTGTGGGTTCGAATATGCCTGCGACACAAATTTTTCATAAATTTCGATAAACGTAATTATATAGAGTAAAGCAAAGTTGCAACATAAAAGCTAAAACTACAACCATTTTTATTTATTATTACAAGAAAAAAATTTAAAGTTTCCTAATTAAAAATAGCCTTTTAATTAAAAAACAGTCGTTTTGCCCAACCTGGAATGTCTTGTAATAGAAGGGAACAAATACAGGGTGGTTCTCTCTGATTTCCAAAGGATATATTTTACTCTTTAGTATATTAAAGCAGATTTATTCATTTCATTATACACGATTTTTTTGAAATGAAAAATCTGAGTCACAGGCAGGACTCAAATTGTGTGATTGCTTACAATTGGAATAAAACAGGGTCCAAATATTTGTGGCATGGGCGATTGAATACACAGTATCTCAAGTGGTTGGAGCAGCGGTGGATTGAGCCGAAGGTTTTGAGTTCGAATCTTGCTTGTGACACAAATTTTTTATTTCGAAACAAATGTGTATTATTACTTGAGTATTAAAAATAGCCGAATTCATAGAGAAACCAGTACGAAAGCCAGATGTATAAGTAGGTTTGAGGATTCTAAGTATTTGGAGATTTGAGATAACAACTTTTTCAAGATGTTTAGTGAGGTTAGGGATGTCGACTTTTAAAATAACGTTGTTGTTACTTGTTTGTTAAATAAAGTTGTCAATATGCCTAATTGTGGGATATTTAATTTTTTCCAATTAATCAAGTTTGGTGTAATTACTTTATGCATTATTAAACAAATCTTGAAGGTTTTGTTTCAATGTGGTCCTTGTCCTTTGTTAAAATTATTTTCTAAAGTTGATGATTATTCCAAATGACCGACCACTGCTGAAAACACATTGACAAAACACCAACCACAGAACAAAACAAACTAGAGAAAATTTGAAGAAACTAGACTATATGGAAATAAACAATAAGTAGACAATTATTTATTTATACAGTATTTTTATATTATCAATAAGAGTATAATTCAACAAGAAATAAATGTTTATCTAAAAAGTTATTAATACAATATCAAATATTATGATTTGTAGTATTCCTCTAAACTTGGATCTTTTGGTTTTAAAATTTCTTTATTAACTAAATTGACTATCCATCCAGGAGCAAGACCATACAGAATTTGTCTGGGATCTTTCCTTTCCATGAGTGTTTCATAAAGGGGATCATTTTTGTCAATTGCAGGCAGCTTGTAGCCATATTTCTGTGCTAAAACCACACGCTGGTACGCTACTTTTTCTGGATCTGCAAGATAGCCTCTGTTTTCAGCTGAGCTATAATATAGGATGACATCCTCCGTTGGGATCATCCTGCGTGGCAGGGGTTGGCCATTCTTGAAAAACTTCTCAACGTTTTTCAACACCCATAAAGAGTTGACGTCATAGTAGGCCGTTGTTATAACTCCTCCATTTTTCTCGATTGCAGCTATTGTACCTTCTGATGCCCACTGGACTTCAATGTTAATTTTGGCCTTAAAAACATCTGCACCCTGAAAAAAAAGGTTTGTAATGTTGTGTCAAAAAAATGAATGCAGTATTTATGAGGTTTATATGTCGTGTAATTATCAGGAAAAAACCCTCCAAGTATGACAATTAACCAAGAAATTATAAAAATTTCCTGTGAATCAATGAGAGTCTGTAGGTAAAACTGTTCTTTTCATTAACTAGGTAGTAAATGAGCACCTTAGACATGTGTAATATTATCATGTAATTAAATAAAATGAGATTAAGGAGAAATTGAGAGCCAACTTTCTTTATGGATCACTGGCAGATTATCTCAATGTGGCAGGTCTTAATAACTGCAAGACAGAAATTATCAGTGGATCTTTTTCATTAATGATTAAAGTGTTCTACTATTGAGTAAAGTGCAGCAATTTAAAATATAAAACATCAAAATCTAACTGACTATATAATTAAAATAAATAAATTTTTTTAGTATGAATTTATTTTACGGAAAAAATAAATGCAGTATTTATGAGGTTTATATAATGATATACAATTATCAGGAAAAACCCCTCCAAGTATGATTAATGATTTTTTTTTCAAACTTAAATATGAACATAGCAAGAGCAAATTATACTCAGTAGGGATTTCTTTTGCTTTAAGAAGAACAGTTCACTGACAAATTATGTAATATATCGGATTGTAAAAATAGTCTGTATCATTTTTTTATGATTAATTTAATGAAAAATTTTAGGCGTTTGTAAACAAATTTAACCAACAATATATGTATCATTTTGTTACATGTACTTGTCATCCTACTTGTAATTTATTCCTTCCAGAACTTCTTAGGTTTTTTAGAAGTAAATGTGTATTCTGTAGTCTTCAAGTGAAGTAAAATTTTTCCCATTACAAATACAGTGGGCAAGATAGCACATCCCAGCTGAGTTGCAACAATTTTCGGTGTGACTACAAAGACATGTAGGATTATTAGGATGGAAACCATGGCGTTGTGATTGGCCAATGCAGGACGTTTTTGGTCAATGTTGACTTTAATTGTTGTGTGCAGTAAGCACTAGGATTAACAGTTTGGTTGGAAGAAGCTTATAATAAATAACCCCCTTCCAGGCCCAGCAAATGCATAACATTCAATTCAGCTGTTAATGTCTTTAACAGTGGGTCGCTGAGTTCTCCCTCAGAAAATTGTTGTACATGACCCACTTTTCAACCACAATTATCAATCTTTTTAAAATGGATCGTTTACATTGCATTTTAGGAGGGAATCACAGATGGAAAAAATTCTTCTCAGTCAACATGTGTCAATCCATACATCGGCATATCCAACTGTTCTCAGATGCAATGAAATGCTAGTAGGAAGTATTTTAAGTATGTTTGCGATGTCTTGGTGTGGTCATCATCGATGATTGAAGGACAACCAGAGTACTTTGCATCTGCCAAATCAAAATTTCCGCTTCTGAACTGAGCAAACCATTTACAGATGGTACATGCTCCTAAAGCAACATGACTACACACACCACCAATTTTCCTACCAGCCTGAGCTGCAGGTTTACCTTTGTGGTATTAAAAAACCCATTAAATGACAAAAATGAATTATTTTTCCTTCATTTTAAAATAGCAAAACTTTGTAAAAATATGAGATCTTGATTGAAACTGATGAACAAAACACCTTAACTAAACTGTTTTCAGAAGGGATAGTCAATAGTGACTCGTATTGCTCAAAAAACACATAAAATCCAATTATTGAAAAATGATACGGACTTATTTTACAAACCAATACAATAATGTTAAACCCGTAGTTGGACCCAATAAGTAACCCAGTGCTGGTTCAAATGTGTTCCTTGGCTTGTAGACTAACACCCAATATGTACAAAAACTTTTAGAAACTAGTGAAACGTCTTTAGATATTTACCAAAGATAAATACCAAAAACTTGGAAAAAGTAGGTGTTTTAACTGGTTTTTCAATTTTCAACGTCCGGTTGAGGTAAGGGTTGCGAGTATTGATGTATTTGACTATTTCAACTAGATCTCAGATATCTATCGCTCCAGGAATTGTACCAAATATGTAAAAAAGTCTTTTTGAAATTAGTGAAACATCGAAAATACTAAAATTGTTTTTTGGATAAGTAGACTTTTTAACTGGTACAGCAACAGCAAAATGTTTTTATGTAAGACAAGAATAATTTTACCTGAATTAAATTATAGATAAAAATAAAACTACCTCATCAGTAAGATTAACTCCATAGTGTTTCTCTTCGGGCTGAAATCTGTACAGACCGGTGTTGACAATAGTAGCCAGATCGATAGGCACAGTCGTGTCGATCCGGTTGGTGTCTATCATCTTTTGTAATTGCAATAAGCTCAATGGTGGGTACTGTTTTCTCGTACTGTCAAACAAAATGAAAACTAAGTAAATGATTTAAAGAATATCACTTAAAACTTACTGATGTCCCTTATAATACGGCTCATATGGGAAACGGATGTAAAACGGATTGTTTCCTGTCTCATACCCCAGGCGCATAAAATTCTGCCTTTGGCCAGAACCTTTGTTGCCGCATCCGTGCTTGTCTCCACCATGCTGAGCCCTGCCTCTTCCATGCTAGCAAAAATTTAGCAATTTAATAAATTTTACTTTATAAATTTAATCTTTCTTACTCTATAAGGTTGACCGGTGTTCCTGAGATTGCTAAGAGATATCCTTGGAAGGGCCCTGAGCATTGCCAGGGCCTTTTCAGATGTATTCTTCACCGAGCCCATTATTATTCTGAAAAAATTAACATTCAAGTTTCAAGCATGCATCTCGTGTACTGTTTATAGTACGATAGACGGTTTAAGGTTTTCTCTTGAACCAGAATGTCACCTCTCCAACTGGTGAATGTTGAACCGTGGCGACACTGCTCTCTGTTGTATATTGTAGAACTACTGAAGTAATACATAGGAATACATTTTGTGCTTGGAAATACTAAAATTTTTTTTGTCATTTGCCACAATAAAATGGTTTAAAACTGGGAAGGCAGTTGCATTTCTAAAATATTTGTATTAATGATAAATGAAAAATCATTTTTTTATACTTATATGAAGCCGTCCACAAAAATAATAACATTTTGCAACATAATACAAAAATAAGTACCATTTTGCTAAGAAACTTGTATTCCGTCAACTGGAACTTGACTCTGATAACATAAAAATATTCTTCGTTTGTTTCCTCTTTCTTTCTTTTGGTATTTCAAATAAAAAAATAAGAGAGAGAGAGAGAGATTGATTGATTGATATCGATTTATTTACATAATCTCTCAAGATTTGGTCTCGAGGACCACTCGTACATCTAAAGAGAAAAAAGAGAGAAGAGAGAGATATTGAAAGAGTATGAGGGAGTTAGTGCGAGAGAGAGAGAGAGAGATAGAGAGAGAGAGAGAGAGAGAGAGAGACAGAGTGAGAGAGTGTGTGAGAGTGTGTGTGAGAGAGAGTCAAAAATGACACAATACATACATAACCAACCAAATATACAATTAGCGGAGAAATTAACTTGTAATATTAAAAAAGACCAAAAAAAGAGAACAAATAAAATAAAAACAATTGTTGATAACAAGTGAAAATATTTAAAAATTGTATTGCTGTACTATAAAATATTTATACTATGACGTGTGTGCAAATTTAATGTATGGTCAGCAAAAAGAGTCGAGCAGAGAAATAAGCTGGGTTTCAGTACGCATGGAAGTAGGGGGGGCAAAATTCCAACCCTGTTTCCTCGCAGTACCCCTTCGGAAATGCTTGAAAGTCAGTGGGAAGATATGTATGATCCAAAACCAAAAGGATCAGTAGGCTAAATTTGCACTTATTGCAATTTAGTATACAAATAGATTTATATATGTCTGGTATGTGAGTTTTTTCTTTCTCAAGCAAGTTTTACAGCTCCATCTTTAGCAAACTTTGTCGAGCGCCTATTGCAGTCGCCATCCCATGGGTGAGAGGTCACCTCTTCCTTGGGACCTTGGCAAGTTCCACAGTCTGTTGCTTCCTTCTGTTCCTTCATACACTGGAACCAACTATCCTTGTTGTGTTATCCAAGCACCATTAGGCAATTAAGGCACCCCCAAATTGGAGCTAGTGCCTGAAAAGCTGCCTGACTGTCTGAAAGTTTGCAAATTGTGTGCCTTTCATTTTCTTCTGTATGAACTCAGATGCACATAGTTAGATTGCAAGGACCTCAGCTTGAAAAATTGGCAGCCTCAGAGCCAGAGAGAAATGTAAAGAGGCAGAGAGAGAGAACACACGAGAGAGAGAGAGAGAGAGAGAGAGAGAGAGAGAGAGAGAGAGAGAGAGAGAGAGTGAGAGAGAGCGAAGTGAGTGAACTTAGCACACTCTCACAGTCTCTGGTGTGTCTAGTGGAGGTTCGTCCCATGGGTGTAAGGGCTGCTCCTTCTTTGGCTAACTGGTCCACCTGTTCATTTCTTTCTACCTTCATGTCCCGGAACCAACCTAATACCTTGTGTACTTGGGTTTCAGACTAGTTGGGAACAAAAGAATATGCATTTAATGCCTTTATTCCTGATTGTTGAAAAGTATGTAGATCCATCTGATGAATTTATTTACTTCACCTTTTGACATATGACCCTTTAATCAAGTTTCGCATTGGGATAATTTTAAACAAAACCATTATTCAATTATTTTTGTTAAAAAGGGTTTTGAATCCAATTTTAAAGTGAATATTTTCTATAGCTTCATTACAAACCCTGTTTGATTTAATATTAATAAATGTGCAATGAATGTTGCATCTAGGTTTGTAGGTTATGTTAATGTTAAATCCTTGTGTGTAAATTTCAACCAAAATTGAACTTTGAGGGGTTTAGCATATTTAGTAAGTTAAAAGGGCATATTGATTAGTTCTTCAGGCATTTATAATATGAGATAAATTATAGACGCAAAAAGAGAATGAAACTTTTTATCATGGCTTTTCACCTAGCGTGACAATCCAAACTGCGACCTTCCACGGCAATGTTATTACAGATTACACCAGGTTAAAAATAAGCATGGAAAAACTTTGTTGGGGGATGCTAACTGCTTTAAATTCAACCTTGTCAAATATTTTCTCTATTTTTTTAACAAGTTTTCTCCCGATTCAAATGCAACGAGATAACGTCAAAACCCCACATACTGTTTGAAGCTTATGTCGTGAGAGGACTGGTGAATGTGAGACAATGGAAATGTCAGGGTATTTAATCTAGATTGTGCCTTGGGTTAGATCATGCCAAGAGTTCACCATGTAGGTCCCGTTGCCTGTCCATAAATTTTCTTTGGCCAAATATTTGTGTTGTATAATCAACTAAAAACGTCCTTTGATCATGCTTACGTATTCATTTAAAAGGGTTCAACTATTTTTTGCAGGATGTTATTAATGAAAGAGGACTGCCGTTCGTCTAAAAATAGATAAAAATATTAACACTGAAACAGAAATTACTTTTAGACTTTATTGGTCAAATTTTAGCTGTGTATAAACGACGTGGTTTTTTTTCTGTTTGATATTCTACATACAAAGTTAGTACTCAATTTAAAAAAAGCGGTTACATCTTTATCGGCATGAAATTAGTCGGCATTAAAAACCAGTCCGAAAGTATCACCGGAGCCCAAATTTTTCGTCGATGACTTAAAAACGAAAGAATAAAAAAGAAAAATTATGGAATAAGGTTGGTGAAAAAAGAAAGTTAATAATAGACAATGGCCAGTTATTAAGCTCGGGACCGGGAGGTAGGAGATAGACAGATCTCGGGATATTTGGGTCAGGATAATGGGCCGATGACTCTCATCATCGTTGTTGCCCGATTTTCGCCTACCGAAGCTTCGATTGGGCAAATTACAATAGTTGAAACGTGGTCTTTTTCCGCGGCAAGGCTTGGACCAATGAATGTATGCATTTCGAATATAAGTTCGACCCTGGCTCTATTAAATTTGTCTCATTTTTTATATCCAGGGGAGATAACTATAATCTGTTGGGAAACGCATCGTATATGTTAAGCCTATACATTTTAGAAGGTATTATTTTGAACAGTTTCAAAAGATAAATGGTTTCTCTTATCTTCCTCAGATTTACTACGGTTTGTTCTGCTTTGTCTTAATCTCTGCCCGTCCGTCCAGTCAGTTAGCTAGTTATAACTTTTTTCTCTACCTCAATCCTCTATTCTCTTACTCTTTATTCGTTTTTTTTCTTTTCTTTTCTGGGTGAGTGTACCTATCTGTATGGATCTTGTTTTCCAACTGCCTATCTGGCTGTCTGTCTTGGCTACACTTTTTCTCTTCCCCCCTCTCTCTCTCAAAAAAAAAATTAAAAATAAAATAAATAAACAATATTTTACTTATTTTTTTATTACATTACTACCTATTACTTTATTTTTTAAATTTAAAATCAATAGCATTATTTTTGATAATTAAATTAAGCATGTATATGAATTCCTTACATTCATAATTATATAAATGTATGATGTAAGCAAACAACATTGTATTTTATATTTTGTAATGATTATTGTAAAAAGTCGTTGGATCTAAGAGTGGTCAAATTTGACCAAGTAACTGCGACTATAAATAAAACATCAATCAATTAATCAATCTCATTCCATCTCACTCTCTCAATCTATCCCTTTCTCTTCTCTCACATCGCCGCACTTCTCCTACGCTATTATTTCTCTTCCACTGTATCAAGGAAATTTGCAACCACAGCATAAGAGGTCTTGATCTAACTTTACTTACAAGGCCAATGTCTTTCCTGGAATTCTACAACCCACCGTTGGCTTTAAAACGTTTTAAATCGTCAGGATTGCGTCACATACCTATCTCTGTCTGTCTGTCTTTCTCTCTCTCTCTCTCTCTCTCTCTCTCTCACTCTCTCTCTTTCTTTCTCTCTCACTCACTCATTCATTCACTCCCTCACTTACTCACCCCTCACTTCTCGCTTTCTTCCTCTTCCTTCTTTATTTTCTCTCTATTATGGAGTCTGTCTATTAATCTGTCCTTTTCTCTTCTCTCTCTCACTCACTCCCACTCTTTTTATTTTTTCTCTATGTGTGGCTGTATGGCTATCAGACCATCTGTTTTCTTATATATAGCCTTAAATAGTTTCATGAATCGAATTTATATTAGATTTTATTATGATTGCTCCAATTCCAATTTGTAGTTAGGAAAATTTGTTTTGTCCATGCTCAATAAATCTATTTTATCAATAATTATATATTCAAATTGGAAACTTTTGAATAAATAGTCAGGCGCCATGGGGACATAACAAATTTATCGTTCGCGGTTTTCGGGATTGTAAAATAGCCCGGTGAAATGGTAAAATTCAAACTTTTTCAAGCAAATTTCTTTGAGCTTGTTCGAGAATTTGCAACCACAGCATAAGAGGTCTTGATCTAACTTTACTTACAAGGCCAATGTCTTTCCTGGAATTCTACAACCCGCCGTTGGCTTTAAAACGTTTTAAATCGTCAGGATTGCGTCACATAGACTCTCATTTTGAAATTGAATCAGGCAACAACCTTTAAAACACAACATGTTTCTCATTGAGAGAACAGAGTAAATTTTAACTTAAGACTAGCTCTGAAGAAAGTAAATGTATTTTATGCAATTTGCATCGACAAATGAAAAAATCCTTTTAAAAAATAACTTCTTTCTTAAAGTGTATAGCAAGCAGGTGGTGATAGACCAGAATGAACATCTCTATAAATCGTAGAAAGATTCTTCTGCAGTAATTTGTTTTTGATGAAGCTGTCACTTGTTGTACCACTAGTAGATTTTCAATAAACTTATCAATCAATTAGTAGAGATCTCTATCATTTTTGATACGTAGCTTGTAGAGCGTCAGTCATCCCAGAAGCGATAATGTCAAGGAGCTTGACTAAGTGTTTCTCAGTTCGTTATTGATACGCT